TGCACATACACACATCAACACATCCCTGGTACGTCTACGTTAAATACATGCACATACACACATCAACACATCCCTGGTACGCCTACGTTAAATCGGTGTCAAAGTTTGATGTTACTGTTTCCAAAATTCCAAAATACAGTCTTCTACTTCAATGATTAAAAAAGAAAGAAAGAAACTGAAGTGATGGGCGGGGGGGGGGAGTAATAAAGAGTAAGAGAGGAAAATATAAATGGAGCGAGACAAAGATGTTTCTTCTGACTCTAGGAAGTTGGAATCCTCTAGGAGGATAATCCATGAGCAGACAGCTAGGATGGTTCTCGCCGGAGCTTCAAGATACTCTATGAAGCTGCTGTGTATTAAGGTAGTTTCTTCGGTTTTCCATCTACACTCGGAATTTTTCAGTTATAAGATAATATGCAGGGCCAGTGAGACAGCTGAGTGGGTAAAGGCACATGCTGGGAAGACTGACAACCTGATTTTGGTCCTCAGGACTCCATGGTAGAAGGAGGGAACTTACTCCAATGAGGTGTCCTCTGACTTCCAAATTCACGTGGCATGCCCTTACCCCAAATGGTTTTAATTATATACAGAAGACACAGTTCTGTTCTTTTTATATAAAGGATTTGATTTTTATGAAGCTCTGGGACCATGACTCTTTGTAGCTTTTCCATCAGCTACGTGGTATGTATACCTTAATGTAGATTAGCAGAAAGGTACGATTGATTTCTAAAGCAATATTCATTGCTGTCCTGTTTATTGAGTATGGAAAGCTGTGCTTCTGGTTTGGCCTTACAACAACATATACAGATAACGTATAGATTGAGCAATTAAAACATCTTCATGAGGAAACAGAAGGTCTGAACATTGTAACACTCCAACAGAAACTTATACATATGAACATTCCAACAAATAACAATAAAATATACATTCTTCCCAAGTTCATATGAAACATTCTCTAGAATTACTGAATCTTGGGTCTTAAAATAAGCCACAACAGGGGTGGGTTGGTGATTTGTTTCAATGGTAGAACACTTGTGTAGCAAGCACCTGGAATTTTTTCCTAGATCTCAAAACAAAAGACAAAACAAGCCTCAATTTTAAAATACTGAAATTGGGTTGGTGAGATGTCTCAGAAGTTAAGAGCACTGGCTGCTCTTCCAGAGTTCCTTAGTTCAATTTCCAGCAACCACATGGTGGTTTATGACCATCTATAAAGGGATCTGATGCCTCTTCTGGCATACAGGTGTGCATGCAAACAGAGCACACACACACACACACACACACACACACACACACACACCCCCATAAAATCTTACCAAGTGCCTTATCTACCCAAGATGTTTAATAAAGTTTGAAATCAATAGTGGAAAATTCACAAGTATTTGAAAGTAAAATACTACTAATTTTTTTAAAAAAAAAAAAAAAAAAAGCAAAAATGGCTTCAGAAAATGAAATTAGATTACAACATACCAAACCTTAAAAAGCAAAAGAACTGAGAAAAATGTGAAGCTAGAAATGCGGATTTCCAAAACACAGAAATATTTTCAAATTAAGAATCAACTGCTTTGCCTAACAATACAAGAAGTATAAAACCAAAAGCATACACTATCCAGAAGCAGAAAAAGAAAAAAGAAAAAAAGAATTGACAACAGGAAAAAAAAAAAAATCAGTGAAAATTTTAAAACAGACACTCACAAATCTTTATCTAGATTAGGAAAAACTGAAAACCTTAAACTGCTGGAGTCAGAAGTGAGGGCAGTGGTATAACCACATGATACAAAATGTATTGTAAGAGACTTACACCCCCTCAAGCCCTAATCACTGCCTTCAGCTAATGGGGCCCTGCCCCGCTTCCGCACTGCACTTCCGGTCAGCGGGGGCTCCTGTCCGGGTTCGCTGCGCAGAGCGGTTGACACCCGGGGTTGACAGGAAGTGCAGCTCAGGGGAGACACGAGGCGGTCAGCGGAGGAAGCAGGGCGCTGAAGCCGTTGTGAGCCCTCAGTGGTGAGTGTCGGGGACCTACCCCCTCAATTTCTAAATTCCCTGCCTGACAGTTCAAACTGGGCGAGGTTTGAGGTACATTTGAGGTCTGGGCAGTAGCTTAGTGAGGAACAGCTCAGGTGTTAGAAGAGCAGTTTGGCCCTGGTAACTGTACCATTTCCCGTATAAGGAGTGAGGCTAATGCCCTAGTCACAGCTTAGTGGGTAGGGTTACTGGAGGTTAAAGGGCAGGATGCTCCGCCTCCCCATCACTCCCCATGTGTATTGGAGAAATACAGAGACCGGTCAGTCACTCAACCTTAAGAAATTTAATAAACGTGGCTTAGTTTGGGGCAGTTTTTGAAAAGGAAAAAGAAGAAACTATTCTGCTAGGAAAACAAAACAAAAAAACTAGTGGTTCTTTCGTAATCTCGCACTTTCTGGTAAAAGAAATTTGCTCCTTGACATTTTCCGCAAGAGCCAGAAAACTTCAACTATCCTGTGACATATATTGAACCCATTGCTTCGAATTCTCTTCATTGTCTGTTCCCTGCCCTGTGAAGTCTACTCTGGGGTCTTGATTGAATGCTAACAGTTACCGAACTCACCCACAGATGAAGTCACTAATTATTTTTTTTTCTGTACTTTTTAAGATACCTTTGCTCACCTACTGTCAGTTTTACTGTGTCTTAGATACTGTCTTAAGCGGTTGTCATTTTACTTTAGAAAAGTGGATATGAAAAATAAGTATTTTTATTAGATTTCTTTTAAACTGATATATAAAAAAAATACACATTAAATATCATGTTACGTTTTGATGTCATACACCACACACACATACACCACACACACATCCTAATGACTAGGACAGGTTAAATATACTTGTCTACCTTATTTTTTTTAAGGTAAACTTTTTTCAAAAGTTTTTCTCTAGCTCTTTGAAATATCCAGTGCATTGTAGTTATCTCTGGTTACCCTAGTCTGTAAAACTACACCAAAACTTGGTACTTCCATGTGACTGTAGGTCAATACCCACTAGTCAATATTCCCCAACACCCCCTTTCCACACCTCTCACACCTCTGCCTCTGTCTTCTGTCTCTGCTAACAACCTCAACATCCATAAAATAACACCCCTGCTTTTTTTTTTTTTTTTTTAACATCCTACATACAAGAGAACACATAGTTCGTGTCTTTCTGTGCGTGGCTTATTTCACTTAACACAGTATCTGTGTTGTTGCAAATGACATGTTTATATTCTTTTTGTTATGTGTCTGGGATAGTTCAGACATTCACCAGCCAGACTATAAATACATTTTTAACAAATAAGAGGCTTTTTATTGACATACTGGTTATTAGGACTGCACCTGAGAGCACTCCCAAACCACAGCATTTAGCCATATTAGCTTAGGGTTTATAAAGACAAAACCTACAAGATTACATGTATTTTGTCTGTGTGTGGGCAGGGGCTTATTTTAACAGGTCTTGTAGTAGTCTCGATGAGGCCTGACAAGGCAATCCAGCTAGGAGAAAAGGATTTAAAGGCAGGCAGTAGAGTCAGAGACAGGCCCGGCTCCATTGTTAGGGGACCCACCTGTTGACCAGACTGCACATAGATGTGTAGGAGATCTGGGTCCAGCCCATGAGTGCATTTTAGTTGTTTCAGTCTCTGTGAACCCCCATGGGCCCAGATTAGTTTACTCTGTAGGTCTTCTTGTGGTGTCCTTGACCTCTATCCTTGCTACCACTCGGCCTGTTGTTTGGTTGTGGGTCTCTGTATCTGTATCCATCAGCTGCTGAGTGAAGACTCTCAGAAAACAGTTGTACTAGGCTCCTGTCTGCAAGCACAGCAGAGTATAATTAACAGTGACAGGGGTTGGCTCTCTCCCATGGGGTGGGCCTCAGGTTGGACCAGTCATTGGTTTGCCATTCCCTCGATCTCTGTCCTAACTTTATCCCTACACTTCTTGTAAGCAGGACAGATTTTGGGTTGAAGGTTTTATAGGTGGATTGGTGTCCCTCTCCCTCCATTGGAAGTCCCACCTGGCTACAGGAGGTGGCCACTTCATGCTCCTTAACCTGCACTGCTAAAAGTCTCAGCTAGGGTCATCTGCATAGACTCCCAGGAGGCTCCTTTGTCCCACAGTTCTCCCGCTCCCCAATCTTTCTATCTCCTGGTTCGCTCCCCCCAACCAGCTCTCCCCTCACTTGATTCCCACTTCTGTTACCCTCCCGACCCCTTTTTCACCTAGTTCCCCCTCCACCCACATCAGATGTCTATTTTATTTACTCTTCTGGGTGAGATTCAAGCACCTCCTTGGCTTCTTTGGGTCTGTTGATTGTAGTCTGGTTATCCAGTACTTTATGGCTAATAGTCACATATAAGTGAGTACATACCGTATGTGTCTTTATTTGTCTGGATTGCCTCACTCACGATGGCATTTTCTAGTTCCGCCCATTTGCCTGAAAATTGCATGATATCTTTTTTTTTTTAATAGCTAATAGTATTCCATTATGTAAATGTACCACATTTTCTTTATCCATTC